TTACAATAGTGAGGACATCATTATAATAGTGATGACATCATTACAATAGTGATGACATCATTACAATAGTGATGACATTATTACAATAGTGATGACATTATTACAATAGTGATGACATTATTACAATAGTGATGACATCAATACAATAGTGATGACATTATTACAATAGTAATGACATCATTACAATAGTGATGACATTATTACAGAAGTGATGACATTATTACAATAGTGATGACATTACAATAGTGATGACATTATTACAATAATGGTGACAATATTACAATAATTATGACATTATTACAATAGTGATGACATTACAATAATGATGACATCATTACAATAGTGATGACACTACAATAGTGATGACATTTTTACAATAGTGATGACATCATTACAATAGTGATGACATCATTACAATAGTGATGACATCATTACAATAGTGATGACATCATTACAATAGTGATGACATCATTACAATAGTGATGACATCATTACAATAGTGATGACATCATTACAATAGTGATGACATCATTACAATAGTGATGACATTATTACAATAGTGATGACATTATTACAATAGTGATGGCATCATTACAATAGTGAAGACATTATAATAGTGATGACATCATTACAATAGTGATGACATCATTACAATAGTGATGACATTATTACAATAGTGATGACATTACAATAGCGATGACATTATTATAGTAGCGATGACATTATTACAATACTGATGACATTATTATAGTAGCAATGACATCATTACTATAATAATGTCATTGCTATTGAAATGTCATCACTATTGTAATAATGTCGATGGTGATGACACCATGGAATGTAAAAATCTGTTAATAATTAATTATTTTGTTATTATTGTGCAAATTGTTACTGCGCAAATAGTTTTTGAAAGTAACTCTGAAAAACTAAATAAAATACCACGGTATTTCTCTTAGGTTAAAGTAAGCAGACACAAGTAATTACTACAAGAGTTTAGTAACAATACAAGCAACAGGCTAATCTAGTTGTATTCACAAGTGTAAACTGACGTCAATCTAAAAGAAAATATCATAGGATTACATGTATACATGTACTTAAATCACATGTACATTTCCACAGTATGACAGAGTAAAACTGTGCTGATTACAGGGAAACAACACAGAATACAAATATATCCCGGTAATTACGAATGACTTTCACATAATGTATATTGATTCTGTTCGTTCACAATATTTGCTCCAATTTCCTAGTATTTTTAAAAATTTTATCTGATTTTTTTTTAAGAAACTGGCAAATAATTCTGAAAATACACACGTCAGCTTGCCAAAATGAGCCATTGTTACTTAAATCAGAAGTTATCCAAGCATATATAACTCTGTAAGCTCAGATAACCTTCAGGCAGCATGGACAATGAAAAAACATTTGACAATATGTGACTTGCATGGGTTTTTGATCTGTCCTATGTTAAGTCACACTGTGGTATTACACAACATATGCATGTGATAATACTTGTAGTAAACAGCTGTTTCCATTCGACCAGGGTTTGAAAAATATGGTGATGAAGCCTTGATGCACCAACTGAATGGTTTTCAAGCTCTTCAAAATATTACCTTCACAATTTAAACTAACTTGAGAAACTTATTGGGCTAAAACCATGATGAAAAGGAAATTAGTTTTTGAAAACCCCTTAAAACACTTTTTCATAATTTGACATCAATAAGCACTAGTAATCCTATTCTACAACAACTATACCAAGTATTTTCAGCTACATTCATTCAAAAATGTGTCTGTACTAATTAAAATGTTCATGTATTTGACGGTAAACACATGCATTTGTTTACTGTAAAATACTTTATTTTAGCTGGAATAAATTTTCGCTGAAAACACGTTTTGGGTGTTTTGCATGGAATTTATTTTCACTGATTTTTTGATAAGTTGAATGTAAAATATAGGAAAAATAGAATTCCATCACTGAATATAAACACTTGTATATCGCATATTGGGTGGAATCTAGAGAAGACTAGGAGACCCTGGTTTGTTTGACTACAAGCTCCACTTGTGTTATATTAAGGAGGTCACCCCAGTTGTCTAAAACTTCCCCATATGTTCAAAATCAAATTATAAAATTACTGTAGAATACTTTATTTTCGCTTGGAATTAATTTTCGCTGAAGGGATGATTCCGTGAAAATAAAATCCAGCGAATATACTTTTTTTCCTATATTTCGCATTAAACTCATCAAAAATCAGTGAAAATAAATTCCATACAAAACGCCCAAAAAGCCTTTTCAGCGAAAATTAATTAGTAAATTAATTAGTAAATTAATCAAAGTTAAACAATTTGCATATTAGTAGACTACAGTGTAGTAATTTAATTCACACACTTGTAAAAGGAATAGTTTTTATGGTATCCAGTGCATAACATTTACATTGCTCTTTATAATGTTTTTTTTTTTGTGGTGTAAACATCTGTGTTTTACAGTGGTTGTTTTTCTATAGCGCATCAATGCACATTTGCAAGTTTGTTGTTTTGTAAAAGTTCGCCAGTCGTCCATGATACATTCTGTATGGGTCATAGTCAGTTATGTATCATATTTATATTTATATTTATTTAATCACTTAACATCGATTGGAATGGATGATAATGAATACAATACACAAAAAAAAACCACATGAAAAGTGACATTAAGCAAATACGCTTACATAGAAAAAACAATCATTATTATATT